TATAGAAACCACAAACATTATAGCCACACTCTACCCGAAAGCACGAGCTACAACACAAAATAAAACGATTAGATCATGAATCTTTCTACCAGAGCAATATCGAAAGACTTTTACATCTCAACCCTGACTATTGTGAAAACGAACGACTAAGAATAAATATTACATCAAACAAAGGCCCAAATCGAAATTTGGTAAACTTTCAAGTTTTTCCAGACTCTGCACATCAAGCCGAACTTGAAAGATACCAAGGCCATATTAGACTAGACGATCAATTCCCATTTCACGGTGCACACGGAAGATAAACTTACGATCTTCAAGATAAAAATTGGATACCACACATTGGAATAAACAACCCCTCAAATTATAAAGCAGACACAAAAAATAAAGGATAAGGATATCAAGAAATAATGCTTGTTGATTGGAAAATACAACTTGAAAAAGTACAATTGACACGAGATCTAAAAGGTGACACTAAAATTTATCAAGGAATCAGACTTCCTTGCAAAAATGACCAAGTATACTGCGATCCCACTACACGAACACAAGCAACAATTGTTTGGTTTCCTGAAGACACATGTACCACATTTCAATTGAGAAAAATACACGCTAGAATGATAAAATTCCATCAAAAATATTTTGTTGAATCCATTCCGTATGAAAACGTAAACCCTGGAAAAATCAAGCATAGTAATTAAAACCTTAGAAACATTCACAATATAGAAAACAAATTGACACGTTTCCAAAATTACCCGGAAACAGAACTAGCAGGTAAATACAACAATCCACTTGATAAAACAATATTCAGAAATTCTTGTTGGATATGAACAAGGTTTCGACATGAATACAGAAAAAGTCATAAAAAATCCACGCGCAAGACATCATACAACAAATGACGAAAACCCATACATCCCAGTAAACCTTCTCAAAAATACAGGAAACCTTTGTGGAAAAGTAAAACCACAAGACAAAGATAGTACACGCCTACAAGAACTATCACTCATGAACAACTTCTATTTTGGCGCAATTCATTATGAAATACATCTAGATATGAAATTAGATTATACAATAAGCAGAATTTTTCGAGAAATGTCATTATCGGAACTAGAAACACTACATCAATTATGCGAACTTGAGAGAACACAAATACTACAATCACTTGCACTAGCAGTTCTAAAAATACCTTATGCAGCATTTTTATTATCCGAGAACAGATCAAATTTCATTGATTTTGAAAGAAGCATCCTATGGTATTACACTTGTACCAAAAAAGTATCTCCTTTATATGTTTTTTAAGATGCCACAAAAGAGTCCCCATATTCTATAGAATTAAAGTACATTTTGTCGACACACTTCCACGAAGAACTTATTTTTGGGATACAGCAGGCCCCTGTGGATCTTCTCACTCCATACGCTACACTCATGCAACCATTAAAAAAGTTTTCCCCGAAAGCATTAGAGCTATTGCCCGCAGCCCAAATATCGATTTACAATCGATCGGCATATACTTCAAATCTGACATTCAACATCACATTCGTACACAACAATTTCAAGAATTACTCGCAAAAATGGACACAATACAACGACATTCTACGGATCAAAACTTACGCAAATTTGCAGAAACAGCAGTTTTTTCAGACATTTAAGAACAAGACTATAGCGGATATTTTAAAGATATCAAAGATTACTTTTATCTCAATGGCGAAAAATACAGACGACAGGATATATCACCAATCAATATTTTTAGCTTTGTAAATTTGAAAAATGAACTTTTGGCCTTTCTAGGATGGCCCTATTACATCCTAAAAAGATTGACTATATTATACGCAATGTTCAATTTTCTTGGATTTCTTTTCTCTTTGCTAAAAGGAATCTATAACACATGTGCTATACACACACAGGTAAACAAACAAGCAAGCGTAGCACGCATAGTCTTTGCAGATTTTTGGAATTTTCTCTAAATCAATAAATAAAACAGTTTTAGACGCTCAAATAAAAAAATATAATACAAAGTTATCAACTACACCGAATTTATATGACGATTCACAAAACAACACAAATACAACACCTACGGCGCCACAATTACAAAATCTAAATCATAATTATCCATTATCGTTAGTACCACAAAATTTTAGAAACATAACACTGTCAGATCTCATATCCTCAAGACAAAATTACCCACAAAGCCCAATTCAGCACATAGTAACACAACAATCTCATATTGACGACACATACGAACAAATAGTTGAACGACCACATGCCACTAATTTTCGTTCTCAGAACAACCATCGTTTTAGCCCATGATGAGCCGCTAATTTGGATCACTCCATCGCTCAACTTCCTACCCAGCCAACCTTCAAAACAACATCCCTGTCATACCACTTTTTGCTTTCCCCCACCTGAATCACCTCATGTTAACATTTCATCCGGCATGGATTCAGACACTAATTCAAATATCACTGTATATCATACTATTTCATAATTTGAAAACTCAGATCAAGAGACCCCTGATGAATTTGGTAAATTCGAACCCAGCCCATCTACATTTTGCCAACCCCCTTTTCAACCCCTTCACTCCCAAACCAGAAACGAACCTCTCTCGACTCCGTATTTCATTTCCAACGTGACACCCTCATATTCCTTCTTAACCAGTCAAAGATCTAACAATAGTAGCCCCGAAGACACAAATGTCTTATGAACTAGACAATCTAATCACCAAACCTATCAACTCCCATCCTCTTCAATTTACACCCCTTCGCTAGCTCAAACTTCCACGTCCAACCCATCCTTATCCAGTACAAACCGAGCATACAGAACCTTCAAAAGAATATCACCCAATCATCCATTCCCCTCTCACCCAGGAGCAGCACGAACATATATTAATCATCCAAATCACACAATTACTAAAGAATTCCTAAAAATATGTTTACCCTTTTTTCCCCAATATACTTATGCCTAGTCAGATCCTAATGATGAACACCCCAATTATGTTGATGAGCATGTCTTATACCCAACCCTCTCTATGTAACAGAACCAATGATCACAGCAACCGATCAGAAATCACGATCCAATCTCCCGAAACCATCGCGGCAAATGGTCACAACCGAACAACAAGTTCTTATCGACGATTCCAGCTTCCTGGAGCTTCCAGAAAAGATCCTTCTTCCTGAACGGAAAAGGCAAGATGCTCGCAAAAGAACGTCATCATCCATCCTCCATTACAGTAGAACATTGAAGAACAAAAACTCTGTAAACCCCGGATGGGTGGAACCAGATCTAAACTAGATTTTATTTTTGGATATTATTCTGATATTTTATCCCTATAAAATATTGAATACTAACCAATCATAATCCATCAAACTAACAACCCAATTATTTGTAAGTGCTGAAATTACTTGTAATTTCAGCACCAGAGAGATTTGAATTTAACTTAGAACTTAGTTGTATTCTCCAAGAGACCGACTCGTAATTAACCAGTATACCTTAGATCTATTGAAACTAGGAGATATAAGAGTAAGATTAAGATTGGTATTAGACTAAGAAGTTGCACGAATCTATCCGGCCGAAAATAAGATAGCGTGACGAGCAGACGGTGTACCTTATCTGAAATTACTCTATGAGTTAACCAATAACACCTAACTCAATACGTTGAAGTTCAATTTTTTTTAACCGAGCCGAAACTAATAATTTTTATATTCCTGGTACTATATATTTCATCGTGATACTACTAATCTTTTCAAAACTAAGTTGCATATGTAGGGTTGATGTTTTGTAGCAGGCAGCATTGGTAGCTCAATAGCGTTTGACTTTCGGTTACGAATCAGTTTGAACAGCTGATGCTTTTTAATTGATCATATCAACTGAAAAAAAAAACAATTTATTTCATACAAGTCTTTTTTTAAGTCTTAAGTCTTGTTGATTTTTTTCGGCTCAATGGTTTTCTGCTGAAGTATTTCTTTTTCTCCGAAGTTTGTGTGGTTCTGAATAGTTTCAATTTTCACCATTGTACTTCAGTTGGGTTTTCAAAAGAGTACAGGTGTGGTAGTTAAAATTGAAAATTAACATCGAAAATAAAGGAAATATATTTTTTTTCTGGCTAATCAGCTTTCTGTGATTTTTTTTTCTTAGTTCGTGGCTTTTGTAGGTTGACTCGATTACCCAGATTTGTAAGAAGCAAGTCAGCGTACGAGGAAAAAGCAATTTTTGAAGAAAAAAAATTCACGATAGAATCAGTTTTTGTTCCGACTTTCGATACGAAAGTAACGTAATATTTGTGCTCGGGGTGGGTTTTTTTTTCTTCAGACAAATTTCGACTTTTTAACTAGCCATTTTTGACGGAATTTTTTTTTATCATTCAAAAGGTTTTGTTGTCCTGAGCTTAAATTTGAAAAGATATTTCACCTGTGATCATTTTTCGTAGAGTTATGAGGGTTTAAAGATTGCCACTTTGGCCATTTTGACCAATTTGGGACAATTAACGAGCGATATAATTCGCGCTATTAACGCGTAAGCGGAGATTTAATCCGTCTTATAAATCGTTCCAAATTGGTTGAACGAAGCTTATTTGCTATAATTGATTTGTTACAAGGAACGAAATCTCTCTTTTTAAACCTTATATGGCGTGTGGGGGGATGATTTTCACAAAAAATTTCAAATTTTAGAAAAAATTTTCATTTTATTTTATTTCATTTAAATTTTTTATGCTTTTACTGCTGCTCCATAAACCTGCAGTCGGAACATTCAGGGCTTCACCCTGATACGAGCAGTCTTGTTATCTTTATGTGCTTTAGTTTCACGCATTTGTCCAAGCTAAAATGTTTGGGCTTTAACATAGTAGTCCCTGTTTATCCCTTAGGCTCGAGAAGAGTTGTTTGGCTCTCTTTTTTTGTAAAAAAAAATATTGTATAAAAGATAAAAGCATTGTTTGGCGTCCGACTAAACAGACCGTTTTTAATCTTGGGGATGTCAAAAAAAGTCTCAAATGAATTTTAACGTGTGTTCAGCTGTCGGGAGTTGTTCTTGTGGTTGGGTTATGTCAAGTGCGCTCTTTCTTCCCATGTCAAGTCGAGACAGTAATCACCAGCTGTGCTACCCAATGGTCTGTGCCTGAAGGAATCCTTCTATTGACAATGGTGAGGCCACGTTATTAAATCATAATGAAGCACTGACTTTAATCAATTGACTTTTCGGCAAGAATTAGTCATTTTTGCGGCAGCCAATTATCTTAACTCACGGTTTTGGGATGCATATTTTTTGCACTCAGTTTTGGGTTGTGGAAAAATTCTAAAAATTTTTTAAAAGCTGGAAAGACTATCGAAAACGAACGGTTATATATAAATAAACATAATATATATATTAAACAAGACTGCTCGTATCAAAATCCTCACCCCACACGCCATATAAATTACAAAATGACAGATTTCGCTCCTGGTAACAAATCAACATGGCCAATAAGCTTCTTTCAACCAATTGGAACGATTTATAAGACGGATTAACTCTCCGCTTATGCGTTAATAGCGCGAAATATATCGCGCGTTAATTGTCCCAAATTGGCCAAAATGGCAATCTTTGAACCCCCGTAACTTTACGAAAAATGATCACTGGTGAAATATCTTTTCGAATTTGAGCTCAGGACAACAATACCCTTCGAATGATATAAAATTCCGTCAAAAAAACCTACCCTGAGCACAATTATTCCGTTACTTTCGTATCGAAAGTCCGAACAATAAAACGGATGTTGTTATTCCGACCACCACTAAAGGGCTATGGTGTGTAGGGCGTGTTTTTCGTAGACATTATGACCACCTCATTGAAAGCTAATTGAATTGCGTATGGTTTTAAGTGGGGTACTTTATTAAAGCCCTTGGCTTCAATGGTCTGAATATTGCCGGTTCTCAGGCTAAATTAGACAAAAATTGATGAGAGGCCGAGTTCTTTGCTTAATTTCACTGCAAATTTAAAGTCAATTGAGCTATTGTTTTCTCACATTATTGTTCCGACTTTAAATACAAAAGTAACGGAATATTTGTGCTCGGGGTGGGTTTTTTTCTTCAGACAAATTTCGTCTTTTTAACTAGCCATTTTTGACGGAATTTTTTATATCATTCGAAAGATATTCTTGTCCTGAGCTCAAATTTGAAAAGATAATTCTTTGTAAAGTTACGGGGGTTAAAGACTGCCAATTTGGTACAATTAACGAGCGATATATTTCGCGCTCTTAACGCGTAAGCGGAGAGTTAATCCGTCTTAAAAATCTTTCCAAATTGGTTGAAAGAAGCTTATTTGCCATAGTTGATTTGTCACAAGGAGCGAAATCTATCCTTTTGTACTTTATATGGCGTGTGGCAGTATGATTTTTGTTTAAAAATTTCAAATTTTAGAACAAAAATTTCATTTTGTTTTATTTCATTTAATTTTTGAATGTTATTACTGCTCCAGAAACCTTAAAAAGCAGTCGGAACATTCAGGGCTTCGCCTTGATACGAGCACTCTTGTTCCAATTTGTCTCCCAGTTCAGTTACCCTTAGTTTAATAACTAAAAAAGTTACAGACAATTTAGAGAAAGGATAAAAAAAATAGCGATGTTTTTTTTTAGTTTTGTTCCGACTTTCAAAGAAAATGTCCGAATATTTGCGCTCGGGATGGTTTTTCTCTTCAGAAAATTTGTGACTTCGTAATTAGCCAGTTTATGCAAAATGTTTGTATCATCTGAAAAATGTTGATCTTGTGAGCTAAAACTCAAAAAACTGATTCACATGCGATCATTTTTTGTGAAGTTACGGAGATTTGAAAGTAGACAAAGTGGGACAACAAAGCGCGCTATATTTGTACGCGTAAGAGGAAAATTCGGCTCAGAAAATATTCCAAACAGAATTGAGGCAGGTTATTTGTACCAATCGTTACGTTACTATCACTTTGTATTTTAGATGGCGTGTAGGCGATGATTTTCAGAAAAAATAAAATTTGTGGAATTTTTGTTAAAGTTTTTCAAATGAAAGCTAATCCATAGACCTTATAGGGCAGTCGGAACATTCAGGGCTTGGCCATAATAAGAGCGTTCTTGTTTTCTTCGTACATTGTGCCAACACTTGCACAGCAACTGGTTCTCGAGGTTATCTTCGCAAATCCAAATTGAATTTCGTTTTAATTGTCTGTAGAGCCGAGTTGTATTCTTTGTGAAGAAAGCTCCGAAGCAGCACTCTGGCTTAACGGTACGTCAGAGAGAGAAAGTATCCCTCATCACTTCTCTGTGGTCAGTTTTAAGAGCCTACTCTGGGAAACTTGGTCTGCGACTACTGGACTCTTTGCAGTATGGATCTTTGCAGGCCAGGACTCGATGGGGTGCATCTCCCCACTACGCCCGCCACAGTCCACAGAATCAATCCAGCCATAAGCATGACTCACTCAAGAGATACCGGGTACCTCTCCAACTGGTGAGCATTGCATTCACTCGTATCACAAACGTCAGTTTAGTTACGACGAGAGAGGTGGGTTGATGACATGGGTAGAATTGTCAAAACTTATGATATATTCTTGCACATAAAATTGCAAGCACAAAATCGTGCTAAATTATTGCATAAAAATACGTTAGAATATTGGTGATCGGGCTTAAGTGTAAGAAAAGATCCCTGAAGCTGTGCTACTCTCAATTATTATTTTAAAATTCTTAAGTTGAGAGTTGGTTTGATAAATTGTTGTTGTTTTTTAAAGGAGTGTCTGATGGATGAGCTGGAAAAACAGGTGGATGAGTTGATGAGCCGCACGATGACTCTGGCCAGCCAGCTGAACTCAGCGGCAGCTACTGATGCCTCCCATTCGCGCCCACACTCCAGGAGACACTCGCGGCCACTGAGCGTGGGAGGGGGCTGGTTTTTCCCGACTCTAACAGGACCAGACTACTCGCCTTGTGCTACTACTGCTAGTCATCGATCGTCAGTCGTATCCCACAGTCCCTACAGATCTCGTCTTCTTCCCTTGCACAGTTTGACTGACACAGAAGCAGAAAATGCAAATGACTACTCCCCACTACCTACAATAGCATCAATGGTCAGTGCTCATCATCTCACATGCGCGCTCTTGGTGTTCATTACTGAGTAATTGTTTCGAATTTCGATACGAAAGTAACGGAATATTTGTGCTCGGGTGGGTTTTTTTTCTTCAGACAAATTTCGACTTTTTACCTAGCCATTTTTGACGGATTTTTTTAATATCATTTGAAATGTATTGTTGTCCTGAGCTCAAATTTAAGAAGATATTTCACCTGTGATCATTTATCGTAAATTACGGGGGTTTAAAGATTGGCATTTTGGCCAATTTGGTACAATTAACGCGCGATATATTTCGCGCTATTAACGCGTAAGCGGAGAGTTAATCCGTGTTAGAAATCGTTCCAAATTGGTTGAAATAGCCTATTTGCCATAACTGATTTGTTACAAGGAGCAAAATCTGTCCTTTTGTACTTTATATGGCGTGCGGGGGGATGATTTTCATTAAAAATTTCAAATTTTAGAAGAAAAAAATTTTCTTTTTAAATTTGAAATTTATTTTAATTTATTTAATTTAATTTTTTAAATGTTATCACTGTTCCAAAAACCTAAAATGGCAGTCGGAACATTCAGGGCTTCGCCCTGATACGAGCAATCTTGTTGAAGATTTGGTTCCTACTTTCGAAGAAAGAGGAAGAATGTTTAGGCTCGGGGTGGTTTTTTCTCCAGACAAGTTTCGAGTTTTTAACCAACAATTTGACATAAATTTTATATTATTCGAAAGATTTTGTTGTCCAGAGCTCAAACTTGAATTTTTTTTAAATTTGTGATCATTTTTTTTGTAAAGATAAGGGAAAGGTAAGATAAGTTATGGGGGTTTAAATATTGCCATTTTGGCCCATTTAGGTATATTAATGCGCGATATATTTCGCTCTATTAACGCGTAAGCGGAGATTTAATCCGTCCAAGAAATCGGTCCAAATTGGCAGTTTTTCATGCTATTATTGCTCCATAGACCTTAAAAGGCAGACGGAACATTCAGGGCTTTGCCCTGATGCGAGCAGTCTTGTTGTTCCGACTTTCGTAACGAAAGTAACGTAATATTTGTGCTCGGGTGGCTTTTTCTTCAGACAAATGTCAAATTTTTAACTAGGCATTTTTGACGGAATTTTTAATTATCATTCAAAAGGTTTTGTTGTCCTGGGCTTAAATTGGAAACGATATTTCAACTGTAATCATTTTTCGTAAAGTTATGGGGACTTAAAGCCGATATTGAAAAACGAAAATTCAGGACAGCTCTCAAAACAAGAGCAGTTGTGGCAGATGAGCCACCCCGTCAAAGATACATCAACAGAGAGACTGCTGCAGTAATCCCGAGCTATTCTGCCAACCAGAGGACGATTAACAGATTAACACATGAGCCAAAGCGTCTGGCGTCACATTCAGTCTACCGGGAATACAAACAGGGAAATTTCAAAAATTGAGCTAGACCCGATTTGAAAACGGCAAAATTATCAATTTAATCAAATTTTTCCCATCTTCTTCCCTTTTGGCTCAATCAAGTCAACGCATTTCAACTTTGCCGAATTTTATGTTTTTTAATTTCAATTATTGACTAAATTACGACTAATTTATTTGTCGGACCCGAGATTGGAACTTCAGACCTTTTGACCTTGAAGCTTACGACTCCATCGCTCGGCCAAATGCGCTTTCAAATTTGATTTTTCTTGAAAGTTTTGTCTCACTTTGACTGTTCTATGGCTAATTGGTACGCATAGAATCTGATTAAAGAGCGATCAAACAACCTCAAAAGAACAAAGCATTAAAAATCACAAGGTCAAATCAAAGAAATTATTTTCGCAAAACAGTTGAGGACATTTTTGTCTGGAACATAAATGTCTGGTACAATTTTAAAATTTTGGACTGTTTTGTCAAGGACAGAAATGTCTGGGACACAAATGTCTATGCACCAAAAATTGCCATGTTGGCCAATTGGGACAATTAACGCGCGATATAATTCGTGCTATCAACCTGTAAGCGGAGGGTTAATTGGTTAAAGGAAGCTTATTGTCATAATTGGTTTGCTAATAGTAGCGAAATAGATCACTTTGTACTTTATATGGCGTGTGGGTGGATGATTTTTACAAAAGTTTTCAAATTAAAGAATTTTTTCCTTTTTTGTTACATTTAATTTTTTCATGTTATTACTGCTCCATAGAACTTGAAAGGCAGTCGGAACATGCGGGGCTTCGCCCTGATGCAAGCAGTTTTGTTAAATTTTGTTCCTAATAATGTATCTGACATCAAACTTTGTTGAATCAATTATTTCAATTGTCTTTGATGTATGAGATTAATGTTTCCCGGAGTCGTTTTTAGCAGCGCAGAGCAATCTCGTGTGACCAGAACGAAATCTGCTCCTTGGGTAAAAAGAGCCGGAAAAGAATACTTGGCTCTAAGGCGAAGCTGCACACTTCTAGAGGAGGCGAAGACGTTAGTGCTTCCTTTTCCTCCTCGCCCTCCCATGGCTTCACTCTGATGCAATTGCGACTGTTGGCCAGCAGCACTGCCAAATTGGACGATAAGTCCAGAGACAATGTGCTGTTAGTACTTTTCATGAGGCATTTTTATACATTCATCTTAATTACTTCGTTTCGGAAAATATGAAAAACTAATATTGAATGGAAGCTTTGATCAGAACCTTTGTTCTCTTCTTTCTGCACAAATCTGCCAAGTTTTCCAATGGTAAGACAGTCATAGTTTTTGTCTTTATTCAGCTTTGGGATATTGCAATTTGAGATCAGTTTCAAAATGCCCGCTAGTTAGTATTGCGTTTTGCTCCTCTGCTCGCTAGTTTGGCTATGTAAGAATTGGCATCCGAATTGGTGTAGCCATGAATTTTTGCTGTTGTCTTTCATCCATCTATCTCGCACTCTTCGTGTAGTTGTGTGCTGTTGTCTTGTCTGTGTGTCCTGTGTATATGCTGTGTTGTTGATGCAGGGAGTGTCTGGAGGAGGTTGTGTACAACAGACTGTGTGGTCACTGCATGCCATGTGAGTCTCTGTTCGAGAAAGAGTTCGAACTGCAGCTGCTCCTAGACTACCTCATGCCAGGTGCAGATGCAAACAACTAGTCAATCAATCATTCCTCATCCTTAACTCTCATTTGTGATGGATGATCTAAAAAGTCAATGTATACTTAAGTGACATTCATGCTTTTTTCAATTTTTCGTGAAATGAAAATACCGGATTACCTGAGAATGGAGAGATAACCATATGATTTGATGCTAGTGAGTTAGATGTTTTTAGGGTGTTTGTTATATGTGATTGTTAAGATCGTTTTTTTACGCGGGTTCTACAAATATGCGGGCTTTGTGTTTCGACGACAAACTAATGTTGTGCCCCTAAATTGAGATGTTTATGCTTGCATGAGCTTCTTAATTCCTCAAAGCGCTTCTGGCGTTTCTTATCTCATCGAGCTTGCGACTGTTTTTACAGAAAATGAGAGTGACAACTACTTGTCGTCTCGATCTGTGGGAATAGACATGTACTCGAGTGGTGTTGCCAGCAGTCCCCTTGTGCGGATCGGGTCCAGGAGGAGTAATGGGACGGGAGTGTCCTCGCGACGCAGCCGCAGTCACAGTGCGGCTGCACTGGTGGCGCTCGATTGGGCTGACGGCGGGGAAGAGGGTGGGGTGGGTGTAGGAGCGAAAGGTGTGAGTGGGTGGGGTGAGCTGAGAAGTGTATCCAGTGAAGATAAGCTATCAGTTCTATCCAGGGCCGCGGCCGATCAGCCAGATGGTTTAGTCCAACCAATTAAGGTTTGAATTTTTGTCTTTTCTCTTGCATTTTTTCTTTTTGATGCCCTTAAAACAAGTAGAGTAAATTACAAACTGCATTTAGCAGTATCGTTTTTTTATCTCCAAGTCTTGATGAATTTCAAAAAAAGGGTACAGTGAATAGGGCTCATGATATTGAACTTATATTTGGAACCATTCGCTGTTTGTTCCAGATCGTGTACCCTTCATCTTCGTACGAGAAGTCTAAAACTGTGAAGCTGCATCGACTGTGTCAGGAAAGTGTGCACAGCTTTCATGCCCGACCACGACCCACTGACCTTGCGAACACATCTGCCGTGGAAGCACTAGCGGCCGGCATCAGGCTACAGCAGCTGCACTCTCGCAACAACACACGAAGTCAGAAGCAGCGAGGAGTTACAACTGCCGACTTGAAAGCTGAAAGTGCATCTACGATTGAACTACGCGACTTATCGGCAAATCGAACAAAACTGCATCGAACTCGCACGCTGAAAGGGGGCCTGTTTCTGGACAAACTCTAAATCTTTTACACAAAACAGTTCAATTCTTTAAATCAGATCAGTGGCAAATTTACTACAAAGCCTATCCTCCCTCAGCATTGTTTCTCGAAACACAAGATGCAACGGTCTTCCTTCTAAATACTTTTTTGCCTCAAATTTTGAGTTTGAATGCGAGATAATTTATTCTTTGTAAAGTTAGCGAATACGAGTGCACTAACTATGACGATGAAAAATTGTGCAGGTCTTAGATAGCCCTACTCATCGTTTTTCTGAAACAGTTTCACTCAACACTCTTTTATTTCGAAAACGTGTTACATTATGCATAACATAATTTAGGTATATTGTCAATATAGTTTTGTTAGCCCATCATAGTATTTGACCTGACACTATTCATGGTGTTTTTGTTGTGAATGGCACCTTAGAGAAACATGTTTTATCGAGACTGTCACGCGCTAACTCTGGCCGTTTTGTTACAATCCAAAACTTTAGTTAGTTAGAATGAAATCTGAAATGAAGGCGGGAGAGGTTTCCATGCTTGGGTTTTTCTTGGTCTAGGACAACAGGGGCCGGCGGGACTTCGAGCCGGAAGGACTTAATACCGAAGTTTAAACTTTTTAAGCCACCTCAAAACGCAATTTCCTCCCCTTTAAAAAATAGTTTTTAAAATTTCAGGCAAGCTTAGTCCATATTAAGCGGTATTCATCTCTTTTAAAATGGTATCAATCAGTTACAAAAGCCGGAGTTTGAAATGCAAAATTTATGCACATGAAAAACATCTTCAACAATGTTTTTTTATTTTTTATCCTTCCATTACGAGGCCAAACTGTGCACTCTCTGCATTGAAAGCGGAATCTGCAACAGGCCAAAATCAGATTTGTCGCGGAATCCGCAACACTGCTACTTTTTTTGATCTTCTATGCTGTTTTGGATTCCACAAACAATTACCTAAATCATTGCACCGCTCAAAATCGCTCCGAAAATAGACGAATTTGCGGAATACGCAACTGTATTTGCAGAAGCCAGAGCAGTTTGAAATCCACAAACAAATGATAAAACATTTGTATCGTTAAATTGAGCTGTTGCGGAATCCGCAACTGTAAGTGGAATCTGCCAATTGTAAAGGGAATCCGCAAATTGTAAGTGGAATCCGCAAATTGTAGGTGGAATCCGCATTTTGTTTGCGGATTCCATTTACATATATGTTTATATGTGGTAACGTTTTAATTTGTAAGTTTTATTTACTAGGTGTTCACCAACAAGTCCAATCTAACTTACAAGATAATCTACAAGATAATTTACTTTCTTTGAGCAAATTACACCAAAGAGATAGTTTACTCTTTATGAGCAACTTTGACGGGCCAGCTTAATTTTCAGACCATAACACAAACTGCATACAGTAAAAAGAATACGGCAAATTACGGTTAATATAAAGAGATCAAATAACAACAAACAGTCATAACAAAACAGTCTTGACAACAAACAGTAGAAACAGTTCAAGTTGTTCATTCCAAGTCAAAAAAAAATCCTGGGCGGACTCGGCCATGTTATGTCTAAATACTTCTCGGTAGTTATCCTCGACGGCTTATCTACCACGGCATGCACGTATATGGCATCGGATTGTGCTCATGAGGAAACCTCTGTGTTCGTTGAACTTAAGAGATTTGATCAGAGTGTCTAGCTCACGTTCGTTTTTTTGCTGGTAACAAATCGCATTTTCTCCCAGCACAGAATCCCAAGATTGATGGCATCCAAAAAAATCTGAGGTTATACTGCCCAACAATTTAGCAGCAGACTGTGTGGATGATAAACCAATGGCCTTTCTTGTTACTGGTGTAGCTGGAACCAATATGAAAGTTTGTCCTGTTTTTTTCTTCATCAAGCCTACGCATCTTTTTATTGCCGAAAATGTCGCGAAAACTTGGCTAATTGGGTGAGTAATATCACTCAGATCGCAGCTTAAATCGTTCTAAAACGAAGCACAAGGGAATTAAAGAATAAATCATATTTGTTTTTGGAAAAACAACGAAAAAGAAATCATATTTGTTTTTGAAAAAACAACGAAATTGAAACAAGCAGCTACTACAAAAAATCTTCTTCAGCAAGGTCCGCCAAATCAAAAGGCATTCTCAGGGTGACATCCGCATTTTCGATGGATTTCATTCCAGCAAATGCTCGTTTCTTTGAATAATCGAATTTCAAATAATCAACACGAAACTTTTCTCCGGCGCGCAAGATATTCGATCCTAGCTAAAATCACAAATTGGAATACAGTGTACAAATAGAATACGGTAAATTAAATACCGATAAAAAATAAGAATCAGTTGCATCAGCAAATACATTATAAATTTTCAGGACATCAGATGTAAACGACCATCATACAGAATATAAGGATAGTTGGATGTGATTAATTAGTAGATAAAATACACATTTGATTAGTTACATGATAATTTCATCTGTATTACACCGTTGATGCATGGAGCAAACTTCAAGGGGATGTAATTTTCTGACAAATCAAAATAATCAAGGCGACTAAAAATAACTTCCTGCGATTTTTGCTCCTTGGTTGTTTTTTTCTGGCTTCGGCTCTGAGGGTTTTTATTCGGGTCTAGATTTCTCAGCATCCTTAATCAAGAATTTTATGAAATCGTCTGGCAGTGATTCTCCGGCGACTCATTTCCTTAACTTGCCTTGTGACTCGTTTCTCAACTCGGAGTACCTGCGTATAAACTGCCACTGCATGATGGTCCATACCCCGCAGTATCCTGAGGTTTGTCGACCAAACGAACGGTTCACTGGGACACGAAAGGGTCGTTGATGATGAGAATCCTTTTTTTGACACTCCTACCATGTTCAAAAAGACCATCGAGTACCTGTGTAGCCGTCTGGGGTTGAACGATAGTTTATCTATTCTCGAATTCCGCCTTCTGCTGATGACAAAATTATCATGGTGTTCGTGGAGTTTTCGTATATTCCATGCTGTTGCGTTTTCTTTTCTGTCTTCTGGGACACTAAAGTAGGCACTTCCCGGCCAATCAGACCAATTAATTTTTACCCACCAGTTGCTGATTATTGAATTACAGCACTTTCCCAGATGGAAGTGACGGCATCGAGGACTTGTACTTTTTCCTTTGCCCGAAAAATTCTACTTAGCATGATAACATGAATGAAAGATTCTAATATATGGTCGAACTGAGAAGCGATTGAATGATTGAAATGAAAAGAGCCTTGGTTCAAGAATTAACTATTGACAGTTTCCTTGATGCAGGACTAATGCGTCACTTATTCACTTATAATGACGGCTTTACTGATCAGAACTGCACTGTCTAGTTCCATTTATCAGTATGACGCCTTCATTATCGATTAGCCGTCTTATCTTTAAGCAGTCATTATTGCATAGATGCTACAGTCGCCTGGTTTGCTAAAAAGAGTGGAAAGTGTCGAAGCTATTACTTGGTGGACTCTTATCTTGATCCTGGTGTATCGATTAATTTGGTGCTGATAAGAGATGGGAGCTTTGCCGCTAAATTGGAGTCAGTTCATCCTCATCTTGTGCTCAATAAGAATTGCATCTCTCATTTTTCATCCCAATTTAGTAAAAACTTACGGACTCAAGGTGAATGTCCAACGCCGAAAGCGCATGTTCAGTGCCTTCCAGTTCTCCGTCACGATTTGCATTGTCTTCTAACATCCCTGTGCCTCCGTCACCACTCGCAGCACCAGAGACGACATCATTTGCTCTTCCTACACCGGTAAACCCTATGCGAGCACCCCCGCGACCTTTCGCCTCGCCAGTTTCACCGACATATGGGCAACCATATAACCCTCTGCGACATGTTCATTCATGCCCCTCGATGGTACATCAGTGCCAGCCTCAGCTGTATCAGCCATTTCCAGCATACCTGGACTCCTACATGTCGGCATCACCGTATCCGAATTCTCCATGGCCATCGGCTTTTCCCCACTATCGAGAAGTTGAAAGACAACCGTATGACCATGAGAGCCGAACCTACTCTCCCACGGAACCACGAGCCGATGATCCCACGGAATTACAAAACCACATGAACGACGAGCCCACAGAAAGCCGCAAAAGAGATCATGCAGAGCCATATAATGTAGGCAAAACTGTAAGTTAAAGAAATAACTTCACAATACACAAGCCTAAAAGGTTTTGTTAAACCAAATCTTGAAAGTAAATCATATTCAGTTTTAAAAACCTGGAAAAGTCTCCCGAGCCGAAAATCCGATAATAAAGAGACTCTCAACGAAGTCATTTTACAGAATGTCCAGAAGTCGAATGACTGAGCCGATAAAAGAAATGACACCTTGAACCACAAAGAACAATTGACCTTGTTCAGGGCCATTGTCACGTTTCTGTTCACGTGCACAGGGATGCTCGGGAAAATGATCATCAACACCACGGTACATGCTGTCGTCTGGGCGATTGTCAACATAGAGGAAAAAATTGAAGGCTATACTGTGGAGCTGAGCATAAAACCAGCAGGCTGTAAGTATCTTTTTAAATCTAAAACAATCATTTGATGAAAAAACACTGATGACTCGATTTGATGGCTCAATTTTATAGTGTCAACTTCTCGAGTCTCCCACAGAATTCCAGTCTAGCTGGTACAGGATATGAAATTGTACTATACAGAGGCCAGAAACCAATTAAAGATGAGCAATATGAGCTATGTTGTTCAGCGGGATTTTCGGGACACAAAAAACCTGGTGACGACTCGTGTTTTTCGCCAATTCATTCGGGAACGCGGTGTTCCGGGTTGCTCCACTAGTTGATCAGTTCAAACGCCAGGTAGATCAATCGATATAAAAATTCAATTTCTTCCAAAGAGATTTTTTTAAATCAAAATAGAAACCAACGTGGAATCACATGAAATGAATTAGTTTTTTACTGATTAGCATCATAAATCTGGAACAGCCGAAGCGCTGTCTCGCACGTAAGGTTGCAAGGTTTATGCCTTTGTCTACCAGCCCTACGTTCGAGATGGAAAAGCTGAAGAGGCAAGCTTCAGAAGTTCACCAGAAATTGGACGGATACACCTACGAAGAGGTTCTGATGGCAGTGCGATCCCGACATGATTCTCAACGTTGCGTTCGCCAGGTGCAGCGCGCACAGATTTGTTTAGGAGATGACTACTTCCCATGAGCTGTCAAGTAAAATTACAATTTTTTACTCAAAGCAGAAGTGGGCAACCCATGATCTGAAGAAGGTGGTTGACCATGTGGCGAAGCTGCTCAATGATGGATCAAAGAGAAGGTTTCAGCCGCTTGAAAAAACCACAAGCCTGAAACATACCGCAAACGACATTGAGAGC